ACAGGGAGTCTGATGTGCTTGCTTGAGGTTGAACGATCTGACAAAATTCGTTCGAAAATTGCGCTCCCAGGATTATTGACCCTAATGGCCCTCCGTCGGTAAGGTCTTACCCAAACACAAAAATAACGCTTGCTTGCAATGATTTAGGTATGTCCTGCCCTTTATTGACAGGGAAATACACACCATCATTTTAATAACTTTCCCACTTCTTCCTCCTACTGGTTGAAAGCAGAATCACAACCGTCATAAACAACACTGCCGTAGCTTGCGCTAACACTGAGCTAATGCTAACACAAGTTGATTGACACTAAATAAGCCAGGAAGTAAAAGGATCCACTGTTGGTCAAAAAATATTTATACCCAGGACACTATCAGTCCGTTCATCCGTCAGCTCAACCAAACGAGTGTAGGTCGCGTCGATGTTCACGCTGGAAAGATAGTTATTTATAAATATACACAGAAACATACTTTTTATTGACAAATGTTTCCTTAAGATGTTAAAACTCAGAAGAGATTCATGTTTTTATTTTCATATTTGGTTTTTTTTTCTTCTGTTTTAAAACTTTAGTGTTCCAAGAATAGGGAGCCTAAGTCACGCCCATCTACTTCCAGACCGTGGGCCCCCGGAAGAACGAAAGAATGAATGCAAGTCAATGGGGCTAAAAAACGCTATTTTCTAATTCGCTTGTCATGTGCCATGGATTTCACATATGATGTCCGTGAAATTTTTACACACATTTTGTTACCAAGAAAATGCTTATTTTCGAACAGGGGGTACGATATTTTAGGTTTGGTGTGAAAATAAGTCCAGGACTACAAATGCGCTTTACGAAAGCGACGTCATCGAACCAGACACGGAGAAAACGGAGGGGAAAGCGCTGTAAGTTCAGCAAACTTCCCACAGGAGGAATGAACCACCATAAATCTGGCCATGTAGTAAGCAGCAGCTACGTTAGGGGAGAGGAGATGATGTGGTGACGTCAAATATGCGACGTGCGATTTCTAGTTTGTAGTCATGCTTACAAGCTAACAAATCTCAAAGTACGTGACTGGCATGGTCGAAATACCAATCCTTACTTTTCATTGAAACTGCAGTACAACATGTGCGATCCAGGGCGTAAGACGAAGCAGATTAGAAAATAACACTTTTAGCCCCGTTGACTTGTGTTCATTTTTTTGATCTTCCGGGGGACCCATGAGCCGACCAGAAAGGAAGGAGACTTGGGCTTTATATGAGGCCTAAAATTTAACAAAATAAAACAAAAACTTACAGCTCTTTGTTTGTCCCTGCAGGACAGTGAATACTATAACTCACTGAAGTGGATTCTGGAGAACGATCCCACAGAGCTTGACCTGAGGTTTTGTATTGACGAGGACAACTTTGGACAGGTGTGCTGGCCTTACATTGGTTAATTTACGCAGCCTAGACCTCATCAATTGCTTTAGCATCAGGAGTTTGTTGACCTTCATCATTTCTGCTTTGGTGTGCAGACTTATCAGGTGGACCTGAAGCCCAGCGGCTCAGACATGGTGGTCACCAATGAGAACAAGAAGGAATACATAGAGTAAGGCTTTCTTCTTCCTCCTCTCTTTTCTTCTTTAGGAATATTTGTCAAACCGTTGTCATTTATCTTTTCTGTCAGCCTGGTCATCCAGTGGAGATTCGTCAACCGGGTCCAGAAGCAGATGAATGCCTTCTTAGAGGTATTTATGTGTAGTGATTAAAAGTTACCACATGGGGGCGATGTAACCACAGACTAACCTTGGTTTCCAAACCTTACCCTTATGTTTATTTAACTGATTTACAACTTTAATCATTTTATTAATCATTTTATTTTCAGGGCTTCACAGAACTCATTCCCATCGATTTGATCAAGATCTTTGATGAAAATGAGCTGGAGGTATGGACACGTACCTTTAAATAAAAAGTAAAGTGGAGGCTTTTTTTATTATTAAATCCAAACAAGATTATTATTCTTTGATATGTTTTAAATTATTACTCAATTATATTTACCTTGTTTGATGAAGACATTTTATTTACATGTTTTTGGACCAATGAGATGTTCTGTTACTCCTCTATGATTATGTGGTATTATTGTACAGAAAGTGTGACTGACTGTGAATAAATTGTGTGTGAAGCTGCTGATGTGTGGACTGGGTGATGTTGACGTCAACGACTGGAGACAACACACTATTTACAAGAACGGCTACTGCCCAAACCATCCGGTGATCCAGTGGTTCTGGAAGGTTTGTTACCTACCCTCACACGCACTCGCAACCACATCCAGTAGAGACACACAAGCTAAACACTGGATTTGTGTTTACACTAGAAAATGATAAAGTTAGTTTGTGAAGTTTAAACACAATTTAAGCAGGATTTAAAACTTTAAAGGCTCGTTTAGAAACTTAAGAGATCCCTCTGACTTCAATAAGACTGAAAATTTACTTTTTAGAACGTTTTTATGTTTGAATAGGTCACCTCAATGAAAACAACCAGTCCTGTGTAAAAACTGTTGCATCAGGAGACAGACCACCATCTGTTAGTTTAGGTCTTGAGCTGTGAAGGAAATAAGCAAGGAGACTACAGACGTAAAACACTGCAGTGTACTCCATATCTACTCAAGCACCTCTGACATCTGAGATGTAACTATTTATCATTCAGTCAAATGTAAAATAGCTCAAAAATCTGAATATTTCCCAATAAACTCCGGGTCCCGGTCATGGCTGTAAGCGTCCGGCTTGATTTCCTGGCCTGACTTTAGAAGATCAAAGTCTGTTTGAAAGAACAGGCTTGTTTGCTGTGATGCAAGAGCTTAAAGTATTACCCGCCCTAGTTATCATCTCGACTGGAGCGTTAACGTACTCACACACATCAAACGTACTTCTGTTTGATTTCGGGCCATCACTTTTAGATTCATCAGGACACGGTGACACAGAACGTCGGCTAGTTTGGTTTCCTAAACCTCAGCCATCGTAATGAAGGTACACTGACTCTAGCAGAACGAAGGAACGCTGAAGCCAAGTTTGGCATTCGAATTTGAGACTAGAAGCCGATATTTATTGTTTTTTTTTTATATATACATTGGTCGATATTTGTCCTTAGTAAAGCCGATTTAAATTCAGGCACATCCTCGAGCAGCCCGGTGCTGTTGCAGAATTTAATTCCAATGTTTTTTTAGAATCATTAATAACATTTGCATAATAAATATTCTAATTAACTTTATTTATGTGTCTGACTTTTAACACTGAGCAGTGCACAAAATGGCATTTACATTTTTCAATTTTGAAAATTCAATTTCAAAAATGGATTCAGCTATAGGAATGTTCTGCATCAATTGATGTTATTAGTGACATTTTAGCATGAAGATAGGGTAGAAAATGTCTAGACATCGGCCATGGAAACCCATAACAATCAGCAGTACACATCAGCCATCTGCTGACCGTGTCTCCTACGTATCGGCCATCAGCTGATCGTGTCTCCTACGTATCGGCCATCGGCTGATCGTGTCTCCTACGTATCGGCCATCGGCTGATCGTGTCTCCTACGTATCGGCTTCAGAAATAGAAAAACCAATATCGGTCGACCTAACCTCTTCTCATATACAGATACTATTCTCTTGAACATGAACTAAAAACACAAAGAAAGAATCATTCAACAGTTAATGCTAAACCGCTAAGCTAAGTCTGCCAAACTGAATGCCAGAGCCTTTGTCAGACTCGATGCAGTCTGCTGGGTTCCTTATATAGGACACTTTTTACTGATTGGCTTAATGAGCTGAACTGTGTTGGAATGTTTACTTTGTGAAGTACCTTGAGACGACTCTTGTTGCGATTTGGCGCTATAGAAATAAACCGAGTACTGAAATTACTTTGTGATCTACCAAAAAGAAAAACACTTTCTTTGATAATGTTTGCGTTGGGGCGACGGTGGCACAGGAGTTAAGTGCTCGCCCCGTAAGCGGAAGGTTGCAGGTTCGAGCCCCGCTCAGTCTGTCGCTGTCGTTGTGTCCTTGGGTAAGACACTTAACCCACGTTGCCTGCTGGTGGTGGTCGGAGGGACCGGTGGCGCCAGTGCTCGGCAGCCTCGCCTCTGTCAGTGCGCCCCAGGGCAGCTGTGGCTGCATTGTAGCTCATCCCCGCCAGCGTGTGAATGGGTGAATGACTGATTGTGTTGTAAAGCGCCTTGGGGGGTTCCAGGACTCTAGAAGGCGCTATATCAAATACAGGCCATTTACCATTTACCATTTAAATGAATCTGTGTTTATTTTCCTCTTTTAAGGTTGTTCTTCTGATGGACGCTGAGAAGAGAATCCGACTCCTTCAGTTTGTTACGGGAACATCACGAGTGCCCATGAATGGTTTTGCTGAGCTTTACGGTGCGTGACCTCATCATATCACTTTCTCTTTATTAGATTTTTTATTTAGTATTAATAAACTGCTGCTTGCCCTAAACCTTCAACATAGATTTATCAGCCCTGTTGGTCCCTCATAAGTCTGGATTTCCAAGAAAGAATTCATTTTAAAGGGATTATTAAAATGAAGTGTTTGTACTGGAATGTAGCTTTTTAATGCGAGGAGTCAACTAAGCAATCTTCCTTTTATTCCAGGTTCTAATGGACCTCAGCTGTTTACAATTGAGCAGTGGGGAACACCAGACAAGCTGCCAAGAGCTCACACATGGTAACACAACACAATTTTTCACACAGTTGTCTTTCAAATGGATGTTTGCTTACATTATAGCAAAAACATGGCCAACGGTTTAATGGAAGGATTTTACATTTTTAATATTTATTATTGTGATGCCTGTAAATAATGAAATAAAAAATGTCACACTTTTTGTTCCAAATAGAATTAAAATGAGAGGGAAGAAACAACCTTTCCTTTGGATAAAATTAAAAGAACATTTCATTACACTAAAATATCGTTAAATTGGTTGTTATTATTGCAATCATATTTTTGCAATACTTGTAATTCTTATATTTGTGTTTTATTTGACTTACTGATGCTGATGTTCAGGATGTCTCAGTTTCTTCTGGAGTTTTTCAGCCGAGCCTCCAGCTGTTTCAAAACCTTTATTTTTATTATTGATTGTTGTGGTTGTTGTATATTTTCTTCCAGGCTCAAGAAATCTTACTGAAATTTAATATTTTAAAAGAATCGTAGACCTTGGTTGGATGTTGGTGCAGAGATTTAACGTTGGATGCCTGCAACAGACCACCTCAGCAGCCAAATGCAGTCTCACATTTATTGTGAACTTTATTGTGAAGTGTCTTAAAGAAATTTATAAAACTCAGGGATTTGTTTGCTTGCATCAAGTTATCAACAAATTCTGCGACTTTCCACATTTTATGGTAATTTTAATTTATACGATTCTATATTGTCTGCGTTGCAGAAATCATGGGGCCCATGTTTACCACTATTAGAGCAGTAGCTGCCTCCCTTGTGGGTCTTTTCCTTGTAATATTTTGGTAAATAATTAGGAATTTTACACTGAAATAATCACAAAACAGTCTAATGACTCAGTCACGTTGGAAGAAAGTTTATTTTGAAATGGATTTTCTTTTGAGCTGGTGTCGGTACAAGATCTGCTCGGGTGCAAGATCGGCTCGGGGTCCTTCGACTAACGTCAAAGTACGGCAAACCCACTCGGACAAAATACACTACACATCTATGCTGTTGGAAAGAATTTAGCAGTTTTGTTATTAAAATAATGTTTCTTACGACTTAAGTTTGTGTTTATAATGGTATTTGTAAAATAAAACACTATATTTTATTCATAATGTTGAACTCCTCTTTGAGCACATCCCTTGAAGGATCATAGGTATTAGCAACTCCTGTGAAATTGTATTTGCAGGAAAGAAGTGTGTCCCATTTATTGAAGTATTTTGTGTTCAGAGTTGTTGACGTCTTGTCCATGTGTAGTTCAGTTACGCTCATAGCTGCTAGCCAAAACTCTGGAGTTAAAAGTTTTCTGGCTTTACTAAAATACCTGTCTGTACTTATATGATTGATGGTAGTTTTACTTTCTATTAGACTCCAAATGTAATCATTTGGCACGTTTCTAATTCATAATTTGTAATAATGTAATCGGTGATATTAGCATTAGCATTCCTATGGGTTTTTCCACGTATATTAGCATTGCGCTAACCACTCGCTGCCAAATTGCAGCCTTTGCGATTAGAAAATCTCCTTTTGTCACATCGCAATTTAAATGCACATGCAGTTAATCGTTCAGCCCTAATATACATGCAGCTCTATGCTAAAAGTGTATTTTCAATGAGGTAATGATGGATTTCTTTGTAAAAGTTGTCCATCTTTCCAACAGAAAAAACTGCCTGGACCAACGTAACGTGATTACGTAACTTCCGTAAGGTTCATATTCAGCCAATCAACTACTTTGACGTCATCAGCAGTCGAAGGACCCCGAGCCGATCTTGCACCCGAGCAGATCCTGTACCGACACCGGCTGGGGGCTGTTAGTTTTTCCCCTTTTAAAATGATCAGAGAGGGACGTTGTCTTCATTTACCATCTGTCCTACCTCCATACCTTCTGGTTCCAGAGCCAGTCATATGTGAGACTGCGGTGCTGCCAAGTCCGTGTCGGCATTTTTTTTACCCCCATGTACCCAATAATTCCTCACCTGATGGCAAAACTTTATTAGAAATATTTTTGTTTGCTGGCATTTGTAATTCGATTCCTGTCGGCTGGACTGCAGAACCCAAGTGTGACCCCATGATGTCATTCTTACTTCTTGAACCTTTAATATCCATTTTTTCTCCCCTAGTTTCAACCGCTTGGACTTGCCCAGCTACGAGTCTTTCGAGGACCTGAGGGACAAACTGCTCATGGCTGTAGAGAACGCGCAAGGCTTTGAGGGAGTTGATTAAAATGCGGCGCCGTGGACTGAATCCAACCCCCAAAAAGAAAAGAAAAGAAAAGCTACAGGGACATGGAACCAGCTGCTGTAGCAGTTCTGTGTCAGCATGCTTGTACTGTAATGCCTGAGTTGGAGCCACCTCCTTGCCACGGTGGTTTGAGACTACAATGACTTGTCGAGCCATTATGCCTACCTGTTTGTATCTCGTCAGTGTGGGTGGGTCACTCCTTTTACGATCCCGAGGGGAAGCGTGATGTTTCAACGATGAAATCTCTAATCAGCAAGCATGATAGATGAATGACCGGAGCCGGTTCACTATTCCTTCCCCTCTGCCCTTGCCCTGTGAAAATCTGCAGTGCTGGAAAACTCAGATGCATTTCAACAGATGCATTTCTCTACACTCTAGCACAGTATTTGAGCGCCCTTCAGTAGAAGGGTCTAGCATGGCCTTAACCTGGCTCAGACATGCACTATTTCTCTTTAGAAACCGCAATCGCACTATAATCACACTTCTGTCAAATCTTTAGCCCAACACCAGATTACCTTAGGAATGCTAGCCAATCACATTTCAGGAAACCAGACACGCCCCTCCATAGAACCTGGTCTTTGCCATGTGATCACATTTTGCTGCTGCAGCCTTTGTAAACTGAGTTTTTTTCTTTTCTTAGGCATAGGTGAAATATTTAAGAATGGGGTACAAACACATCCCCAGATATGACATTTAAAGAACATCTCTATAGTTTTGTTGTCATGAAACCAGTTTTCTTTTAAGAATTTGTATTACTTACAGATAAACACTTCTGTGTATTTGTACTAATGTTCTTTACTATTTCAACCGATGTAAATGACATAATGTGTGAAGTACAACGCTGGTTAGTCAGGGGGACGATGATGTCATTTGTTACAGTGATAGCAGATGTGTTGAAAACCTTATCGTAGTGCTTTAAAGCAGCATGAACATGTATGATGTGTTCTTTTGACTGCATACTAATGGAGATGTAATGGTCTGGAGGTCATGAAGGGATAACTGTGGGGAGTTACTCTGATTACTTTATTCTCATGCCTGTTGCTGTTCATAATGCTGTAAATGTTCTTGGGGAAAACATGCATTTTTAAGTACTTTCAGGATATATAAATATATGTATGCATTACATTTAACAGAAGTATTACTGATCAACACTAAAATGAAGATGTGTGTGAGGATGTTGGAATGAAAAGCTGTGATCACCGCTGAACATAAGCGCAGCACGTTTCTTACAAAAAACAAAACAAAAACAAAAATGTCTTCTTTTTTTTTTAGTTCTTTCTCCTTTTTCTAATGCTATCGAACCTGAAGGGCACTTTACAGATCACTCTGAGCTCATGTCACCTGTTTGTCTCGTCATCTACTTGAATGTGTTTCCTTTATTTCCATTCAGAGCACTTGGTGCATTGTGAATAGTCTGTAAATCCGGGCTGCTGCTATAGTAGGAAAAAGTGAAAGTGAGCCTTTAAATCCTCTCGTTTCTTTGCTGTTTTATCTTTTTGGCCTCTATATTTTGCTCCCCCTCCTCGCTGTAGTCTCACATTTCCGACTTTGTACTGATTTTTTTAGCAGGTTTTATTTCAATGAATGAAAAATACAACTTTTGTTATTGATTCCACTACTTCCTGCAACTCTGTGGTTCATTTGATTTCAGTCAAATAAAAAAAATCAAGCTTCTTATACTGTTGAGTGAATTGAGACATCACTTCAATCAGAAGATTTTGGTTAATAATCTATCCTCACTACTAAACCCTTTGGTCAGATTGGTTGCTCGGGCATATTTTAGTTCCTACTTCTTATTACAGCATGCACTAAACTTCACTGAAAAAGTTAAACACAAGCTAAAGAAGGGGGAGGGGGGATATACAAAGGTTAAACATTAAGTTTATCATAAACGTTACAATACAACCCATTGTTGTCCTAAATTAATAAAAAGAACCACTGCAAATAGTTTTATTGCCTGTTTTTGTTGTAAATTTGAAAGGGTTAATTCACACAAAGTCCCACAATTACAGTAGACTCTGCAGGTAAATAAATTACTGATCTAGAGTTGAATTATTCAGGCATTGTATTTATATTAAAAAGTTTCTTCATAACTAAATTAACATGACACCCCCCCCCCCCCCCCCCAAACTAAGCCTCTAAACACCAAATCAGTTGTTTTGTAGCATATTCCAGCCTTAATGTACTGTAAGAAACTTTAAAAAAATCTTCAAAAAAATATTAATATTGGGAGGTTTGAGGAAAGAGAGGTTTTGTATGTTAAAACTCATTTTGTTCTTTTCATGTTATTTTCCATATTACCTTAAAAGCCCTACATTATTTAAAAGCTACAAAAAGAAAATAATTGTTTTCTTGCTGTGGACAATAAAGAGTTAAGCAGCACATAAAAAAGTAAAGATGATTTTTTTAAAATATGCATTTCTATTTGTACTTTTCCTTAAACAGGCCTTGGGGCCCTGAAAATTTCTCACCGCACGTTTTTGTTTTACTGTGTACCATTATAACATAAACCCTCTTGTCCAGATGGTCTGTTCTATTCTTCAGTAAATTAAGTCCATCATTCAGTATGCTGGGGGTATCTGACTCCCTACATAAAGCATTAGGGAAAAAAAAATTGCCCACACATCTTAGTTGCAGCTCTGTAAGATGTGTTGTTGCATTTATGTTATTAAAGAACTTGAGCTTGTTTGTAATCAGTTTACATGACAAAAGCTTTTAAATGGTCACTCAGTCTACTAGTCTAGTTCTGTAGGCAACACAATCATGGGGAAGACTGCTGACTTGATGGTTGTCCAAATGATGACCATTGACATGTTACACGAGGCTGGCTGTTCACAGAGCTCTGTGTCCAAGAATATTAATAGAGAGACAAAGGAAAGAACAAGACGTGGTAGAAAAAAGTGTACACGCAATAAAGAGCCTAAGTCACGCCCATCTACTTCCGGACCATGGGTCCTCTATCCTAGTGAACTAGACCAAATTCTTGCTTTGCAAAGTTTGGTCTAGGCATGCTCCATTGGAACCTCCGCAGCTCCTACCAGGACTTTGGCTAGCCAATCACAACTCTCTAGAGGGGTTTCAGACACATAGAGCTGTGATTGGCCCATAATGGTGGGCCAATCATAGTGCTCTATCTGCTTAGTGAACAAATCACAGAGCTTTATCTGCTTTGTGGGCCAATCAGGGCACTCTATATGCCTGGTGGGTGGGATGATGCAACAGAGTGAAACAAGAGTATGTCACAGTCATTGTCCAGTGGAATGCGGAGATCATTTTAAAGACAACGGTAGAACCCGCCCCACAACCAAGAGCCGTCAATGGAGCGTTGCCAGGCTATGGGTCCTCAGAAGAACGAAAAAAAGAATGCAAGAAAATGGGGCTAAAACCGCAGTTTTCTAATACCGCTTGTTGTGTACAATGGATTTCACTTAAGATGTCCATGAATTTTAAATATGCATTTTTATACCAAGAACGCACTTATTTTCAAACGGGAGGAAATGCCATTTTAGGTTTATATGAAAATAAATCCAGGACTACAAATGTGCTCCATGAACATGACGTCATTGAACCAGACACGGAGAAAAACAGAGGAAAAGTGGCTTTAAGTTCAGCAAACTACAAATCGTTCTTTCAGGAGGAAAGAACCATCATAAATCTGGCCATGTGATAAGTAGCAGCTAAGCTATATGGGAGAGGATATTCTGTGGTGACGTCATTTCTGCGACGTACCGATGTCTGGTTAGTAGTCATGCTCGTTGTCGTCTTCCTCCGCTTATCCGGGTCCGGGTCGCGAGGGCAGCATCCCAACTAGGGAGCTCCAGATCGTCCTCTCCCGACCTTCTCCACCAGCTCCTCCGGCAGGACCCCAAGGCGTTCCCGGACCAGACTGGAGATGTAACCTCTCCAACGTGTCCTGGGTCGACCCGGGGGCCTCCTGCCGGCAGGACATGCCCGAAACACCTCCCCGGGAAGGCGTCCAGGAGGCATCCTGACCAGATGCCCAAACCACCTCAACTGGCTCTTTTCGATCTGGAGGAGCAGCGGTTCTACTCCGAGTCCCTCCCGAATGTCCGGGCTCCTCACCCTATCTCTAAGGCTGAGCCCGGCCACCCTACGGAGGAAATTCATTTCGGCTGCTTGTATCCGCAGTCTCGTTCTTTCGGTCATTACCCAAAGCTCATGACCATAGGTGAGGATTGGGACATAGATCGACCGGTAAATCGAGAGCCTGGCTTTCTGGCTCAGCTCCCTCTTCACCACGACAGATCGCCTCAGCGTCCGCATCACTGCAGACGCTGAACCAATCCGCCTGTCGATCTCCTGATCCCTCCTACCCTCACTCGTGAACAAGACCCCGAGATACTTAAACTCCTCCACTTGAGGTAGGACCTCTCCCCTGACCCGGAGTTGGCAAGCCACCCTTTTCCGGTCGAGAACCATGGTCTCAGATTTGGAGGTGCTGATCCTCATCCCAGCCGCTTCACACTCGGCCGCGAACCTACCCAGCAAGAGCTGAAGGTCAGAGCTGGATGAAGCTAGGAGGACCACATCATCTGCAAAAAGCAGAGACAAGATTCTCCTGCCACCAAACTCGACACACTCCACACCACGGCTGCGCCTAGAAATTCTGTCCATAAAGGTTATGAACAAAACCGGTGACAAAGGGCAGCCCTGGCGGAGTCCAACCCTCACCGGGAACAGGTCCGACTTACTACCGGCTATGCGGACCAAACTCACGCTCCTCTGGTAAATGAATGGCCCTTAACAGAAAGCCACCCACCCCATTGTTACGTCCCCGACATGAGATGGTAAAATGTGAAGGATGGGGATAACATAAAAACTGGACAGTGGATATTAAAAGGGTTTTATTGTTATAAAAAGGTTCTAAAAACGAGCAAAACGGACGACGAGCATTATAAAGATAATGCAACACACACAAACTCAAAAAGGTTAACGTTAAAAGACGAATGATCAACTATTAAAACACCTGATTAAAACGTATAAGTTTTACCAAACGAAGGTGTTTAAAAACGAAATCAATCATATTTCTACAAACAAAGTTAGCCTTTAAAACAAACGAACACAAGATCCCAAAGGATCACTCAAGAGTTTAAACTTTAAAAGTTAAACTCATCAAAACGAAGGCACGAACGAACAAACGGAGGGTTTAAAACAAAACGAATCATGAAGAACAGCAGAACCCCTGCACTGCTGTCTCCCAGACTGCTGAAGGCACAGCTCTTTTATCCCAGGTGTTGGTCATCAGATGGATTCAGTTCAGCTGTGCTCCTCAGCAGCCTGGAAGGGAGGAGGAGGAGGAGGGGCGGTGTCCGGTCAATCACCAGAGCTGGGTGATCCTGGCTGCTTTTTCCTTCTTCAGGCTGGCAGCCGTGACACCCATACTCCTGGAGCGTCCCCCACAGTGTGCCCCTGGGGACACGGTCATAAGCCTTCTCCAAATCTACAAAACACATGTGGATTGGTTGGGCAAACTCCCATGCCCCCTCCATCACCCTTGCAAGGGTATAGCGCTGGTCCACAGTTCCATGGCCAGGCTGAAAACCACATTGCTCCTCCTCAATCTGAGATTCAATGATCGATCGGACCCTCCTCTCCAGTACCTTGGAGTAGACCTTTCCAGGGAGGCTGAGGAGTGTGATCCCCCTATAGTTGGAACACACCCTCAGGTCACCCTTCTTAAAGATGGGGACCACCACCCCAGTCTGCCACTCCACAGGAACTGCCCCCGATGACCACGCAATGTTGCAGAGACGTGTCAACCATGACAGCCCTACAACATCCATAGCCTTGAGATACCCAGGACGAACCTCATCCACCCCTAGGGCTGCGCCGCTGTGTAGTTGTTTGACTACCTCAGCAGCTTCTGCACCCGAGATTGGACAGTCCATCCCCAGGTCTCCCGGCTCTGGCTCCTCCTCGGAATGCGCGTAGGTGGGATTGAGGAGCTCCTCAAAGTATTTCTTCCACCGTCCGACTATAGCCCCAGTTGACGTCAGCAGCTCCCCATCCCCACTGTAAACAGTGTGAGCGAGTTACTGCCTTCCTCTCCTGAGGCGCCAGACAGATTGCCAGAACCTCTTTGGAGCCGATCGATAGTCTTTCTCCATGGCCTCACCAAACTCCTCCCACGCCCGAGATTTTGCCTCGGCAACTGCCACTGCTGCACCCCACTTGGCTATCTGGTACCTGTCTGCTGCCTCCGGAGACCCACAGACCAGCCACGCCCTGTAGGCCTCCTTCTTCAGCCAGATGGCTCCCCGAACCTCTGGTGTCCACCAGCGGGTACGGGGGTTGCCACCACGACTGGCACCGGCCACCTTGCGACCACAGCTAGCAACAGCCGCATCAACAATCGCAGAGTGGAACGAGGCCCACTCGGAGTCAATGTCCCCCACTGCTCTCGGGACGCGGTCAAAGCTGTGCCGGAGGTGGGAGTTGAAGACCGTCTTAACAGGTTCTTCTGCCAGGTGTTCCCAGCAGACCCTCACTATGCGTTTGGGTCTGCCAGGTCCACGCGGCATCTTCCTCTGCCACCTGATCCAACTCACCACCAGGTGGTGATCAGTTGACAGCTCTGCTCCTCTCTTCGCTCGGTTGTCCAAAACATACGGCCGCAGGTCAGATCATATGACTACAAAGTCTATCATCGACCTGCAACCTAGGCTGCCCTGGTACCAAGTGTACCAGTTGGCATCCTTATGTTCGAACATGGTGTTTGTTATGGCCAAACTGCGGCTTGCACAGAAGTCCAATAATGAAACACCACTTGAGTTCAGATCAGTAGTCATGCTAATTACAACATTTTACAAGCTGATAAATCTCAAAGTACATGACTGGCGTGGTCAAAACACACATCATTACTTTTCATTTAAATAGAAGTACAACAAATGTGCAATCCAGGGCGTAAGGCAAAGATTAGAAAATAGCCGTTTTAGCCCCGTTGACTTGCATTCATTTTTTCGTTCTTCCGGGGACCCATGAACAACCAGAAAGGGAGGAGACTTAGGCTGTCTCTAGGGATAACTGCAGCCTTGTACTTATGCATATTCAAATGTTTAATATGGAGTGCGAACACCATAGCCACATCTAGTTGTAACAATAGAATAAGGTTTCCAGCTGTCGCAATGTCAGGCTCACTATGATGTGACCAATCAGCACCATGTCCAGTGACAAATCGTACAGGGTAAAGACTAATTTATACTAATAAGTTACATTTACAACAGTATTTAACGTTAGAACAAATTCTGTGCCAAGAAGACTTTTTTTCTTTTGACAACCTGCAATGTCGCCCTCTATTGGCTGGTAGATGTAAACATAAACCCATGTTGTGTTGTGTCCGTCAAATTAAATTTTGATTATTTTTTCATTAAAATAAAGCTACTGTACCTTCATTGTGCACACCTTTAAACACCCCATGGAGGTATTATTTTTGTTAATAGCTTTTATTAAATTGTTCCATATTCAACCTTTAACCCCTTAGCATTCCAGCATCCCGCCCATAGGACAAACCCCATTGCGTTCATAACACTTGGAAATTTAAGGGGTTAAAACCCATCCTACCAAAGTAAAACGGATTCATTTCTGATTGTACGGTATGAAAAAAACAACAATTACTGTGACATTTTTTACAAAATTTAATAACTTTTTTTGCTGCGGGTTATTATTAATGGAGTTTATGATGTATCGAATGACATTTCAAAGATTTTCCAAGTTTATTGTTGGAATAATAAGAAATAGAATACCTTACAGTGATCAAATTGTAAAACAAATTTTAAAAAATAACTAAATACAAATGAATTTAAAACCAAAAGTGTTCATTTTACTTTTTCTAACTGAGCAAGAATATCTGAATAAAAAGAATCTTTTTGACCCTTTGAAACACTGCTGAGATTGGACACTCCCAAAGATCGTATCCTTACATGATTATTAATAAAAATATATATTTTTAAAACTTAAGTTTTTATTGAGTCTTCATGCAGTTGCTGATTGTGTGTGTGTGATCAGTGATGTTTCCGATCCTCCCAGATGGTATATCAGGCTTTTTTTTGACCATCTGTGTATAAATTTCAGTGACATCCACGACTTTTTATTTGAGCTGTGTGCACATGGTTTGGTTGAAGGGACCTCAGTTCATTCACACAGCCAATCTATGAGTTATCAGCTCCAAGGACAAACAAATAAGAGCCACCCGGCTCGTCCGAGGACATTTCATCAAGCCCTCCTACCCCCCATCTGGTCACAAACAAATCGAGAGCCAATACTTATTTAGGTTTAAAATGCTCCACATGCTCAATGACGGAACAATAAAGAAAAAGAACCGTGACTGAAATGTAATTTGAGTAGATAGTTGGACAGCTTCACCTTTAACTAATAATACACACACGTACGCATGCTCAAAGTAAATTACATGACTTCAAATAAAAGAATGTTTGCTCTTGAATGAAAACGCTTTAAGATTCAAAACAGTAAATGTTCAAAAAAGGTTAAAACGAAACAAAGTCCTGATATATGAGCATGTAGCATGTTCAAGATAAGAGCTTAAATGCATCAATTAAAATTTTTTTGGTTATATGTTGTAAAAAGATCACATACAGTGAAACGTCTGTCAAATGCAGCACGCTCTGGCTGTTAACACATGCTATGGTGTAATTTCTCCATGGGAAAAATCGAAAACTGATGCATTTTACAAGATTTTCTTACAGGTTTTCAAAATAAAGCTGAAACACTGCAGCGTAACTACTGAAGACGATCTTCTGAAATGTGTTTCTGCTATTATTTCCACTTCATTATGAACAAAATTCCACTGCAACATTCTGATCCTTTGACTTGAACTACGAAGGACAAACGTGCAGTTTTCTCCTGCTTTAATAGTTCCTAATCTCAAACCACCGCGTATTCTGATCTTTTCTGTAACCGTCGCCACTTTCATTCCCAGTGAAACCTCTAATTTCGGGCCCTGACCAGACCAGTGGTTTTTTTTAAGCTCCCCCTCCTCCACCCTTCACCCTCTACCTCTGGTCAGGGTCGATCGATACTTCCCCTGTAGCTTATCACTAATGTGCAACCGCTGTTTGTCCAAACTCTGCTCTGTCTACATAAAGACTTGGACGGGACAGCTCGTAACCCAAATGCACCACGTATCACCCCATGATCCCAGCAGCTACTGGATTTAAACCGACTCTTACAAAGACACGAGGAGTGCAGAGCAGAGGCGATCCTTTGAACCATGAGGTGAGTTTGTATGAAACCTAGACTTTGATAATGATTTAAATTCAGTTTTACTTCAAAATTATAACATTAATGAATTATTGGCCTATTTTGGAGGTACTGTTTAAGTTTCAACAGGAGAGTTTAGATATTCAGACTTTTGTGAGAAATGGTCTTTATTATTATTTTTGTAGAATATGGAATAAATTTTCTAATAGTTGCTCTTTTTCTCTTGTCTGCAGCACAAACAGCTGCACACTTCCCCACAATCAGTAACAAAGTGACCCTACTGGACTTTGGACACGCTGGATAAACTTAACAAGTGTTGGCACTGACATTATCTACAGTTTTCCAGCTTCTTTTTATTTATTTGAGCACACACACTAATGCTGTGTTTGATTTATTGAGGTTTTTCATAAATTTCTGTTCTGACTTTACTGTTTCTTCACTTTGTCCAGATCATCAATTCACCAGCTTTCTGCTTGCACACCTGCACCAGGTCCTGTCCTCCAGAGCTGTGGAGTGTGACAATGGTGTTTGTTTCCTGTCTATCAAACGCCATTATCACACTAAATAGCTACAGAGTGAAAACCACATCAGATTATTACATCACTCCTGGGTTTGTGCAGCTGATTTGCTCACACCTGTTTTCAGAGCTCCTTGCTTTCCTTGATCCAAGTGTGAACAGGTGTGCTCGTGCGTCAAAGATGGTGACAGCATGCGACACATGAGAGCAGGAGAGGAGAAGACAAAAATAACGATGAAACATGATTTCAATTCTGCAAATAGCAGGCGTTTTTTTGGATGTGAGGCTCTAATTTGATAGTGGAGATGATGTTTGTGGGAACAAATAAAAATGAAAACTGACTGGTCTGTTTTTTGATGCTAATATTAAACTAGCAATTGTTAATGTTTCATAAATGTTTAGCTTATTTAAAGTTGGTCAATCTGATTTCTTTCATCACTTTAAAACCCCGATTTGCTCTTTATTTGATTCTGATCCATGAACACTTATTGTACAGAAAGACCTAGCTTCGTTTGAAATATATTTTTTACCTTTACCTTTAAACAACCAATTAAAAACCAATTTTTGATTCCTGTGTTTAGGTCCAACCAATCCTAAAAGGCTGAGTGACAGAGTTAAAACCTTAAATATTCAGTTTGGCTCAGAGATTTCACAACTAAACATAAAATGGTGTGTTTACACTCCAGTGGTCTAGAATAAACCAGAGCAGATCCCCATTTTAGTGTTGTTGAATGTTTTAAGTCAATGTAATAAATAGAAATGGCTCAAATGTCAGTAACATACAACAAGAAATGTTTACATTTATCTTTAAATAAAGCCAAAAACTGAACGTTCACAATTTCAAGTGTGCAAAGTGTCCTTGTGATAGTTTCTTAATATGAAAGTGACTCATCCAGAGTTTCACAAAAGACAACAAAACCTATCTACATTTTGGTTTTCTGCATAAAACATTAAAATCAGGCTCTTTAATAAGCTACTAATCAATCAATCAATCAATCAATCAATCAATCAATCAATCAATCAAGCAACAGGATTGTGAACACAATAAACTAACATTCATAAAAATTTACAGAAGTAGAAAAACCAGAAATTGTCTGCAAAGAAAAAATGTCTTGCATCCAGTCAGTCATTCTAAGACATGACAGCAGATGAACCAATGAAATATTAACATGTTTCACTAAATGAAGCAAACAGGACACAAACTCTCAAGTGTAATTATCTTAAGTAAAAGAACGCGATCATGTTTGCCACTTCTCTCCGAGTCCTCTTTAATGATCTCTGCAGTCCAAAGAGTGCAAAAAGGAGTTAGAAGAAAACGGGATCATCAGATTCATGACTTGCCCTTCGCCGTTGGCCCAAATGTCTTTTTCTTGGGAACAGCAGAGGGTTGGGCTTTAGGTTTTGGAGCAGCCGAGGTCTTTTTAGCTTTGGGCTGAAGGGATCTGAGTCCCAGGATCTCACAGAAGCTGTTACACTGATGCAAAACTTTGAACTGGTCAATGAAGGAGGTGGCACAGTTTCCTTTGAATCCCTTGTACCTGTAGGTAGAAAAAAATCAACCTATTTAAACTTTAAGGTCTACTACAAGGAATTTACTTTTTAAAATGAAAACTGTCCTTTGAGCCTCCATAAAGCCTAGGAAACCTTTTGGTGACCCCAAATGGCCGAGGAGCCCTGATAAATGGGCAAACATATTTCCAAAGTATAGCTCTACAATAGGTCCACCTGGCCAGGATGTGAATATTAAATGAGCTGCATGCTGATTGGCCAGTTTATGCTGATGGCTCTCTAACTGCATGAAGCTAGAAACTGCTCTCTCTCTCTCTCTCTCTCTCTCTCTCTCTCTCTCTCTCTCTCTCTCTCTCTCTCTCTCTCTCTCTCTCTCTCTCTCTCTCTCTGTGTGTGTGTGTGTGTGTGCGTGCGCGTGAGTGAGTGAGTGAACGAGTGAGTGAGTGAGTGAAAATGGTAAATGGCCTGTATTTGATATAGTGCCTTCTAGAGTCATGGAACCCCTCAAGGCGCTTTACAACACAATCAGTCATTCACCCATTCACACACACATTCACACACTGGTGGGGATGAGCTACGATGTAGCCACAGCTGCCCTGGGGCGCACTGACAGAGGCGAGGCTGCTGAGCACTGGCGCCACCAGTCCCTCCGACCACCACCAGCAGGCAACGTGGGTTAAGTGTCTTGCCCAAGGACACAACGACAGCGACAGACTGAGCGGGGCTCGAACCTGCAACCTTCTGATTACGGGGCGAGCACCTCCTGTGCCACCGTTGCCCCGTGAGTGAGTAAGAGGACAAGGTTTGGACCACAAGTTTTGGATCTATCCAGCTTTCATACAAAGTCTGGATACTCCCAGTAGGCTACATCCTGGAACGTAAGTGGTGCTCCAGCAGTCTTTTTTCCCCTCTCATCTAACAAGGAAGTTAGGAGTAGCTCGGGCTAGCATTAGCAGTATCTCAGGCTAGTTTTAGCAGCTGCTTGGTGTAGCGTTAACAATGTTTAGTCTAGCGTTGGCAGTTGCATGTTGTGACATTAGCAGTAGTTCAGGCTAGTGTTAGCAGTAGCTCAGGCTAGCAACAAATTTAAGCGTGTGTGTCTTTGCTTATGTTGTGTTAAACCAGCTTTTCTCAAACTGAATTGTTTCTCTGTGGCCAAAAATATTACAAATTTATATAGGAAAGCAGGCTGGAGACGGCACAGACCTTTTGGTACATTAAACACCCCTAGCTGCTTTTATTCAACAACAAGGAAAATACGGTTTTAAACTCTAGGGCACCTTTAAGTTTTCACCCTGTGTGAAACAGTTTGCATTTACATCATCAGTGTAAAAAGAAAGTCTCACCCTTTCTTGCAGGTTGCTATTCCCACATCAGTTAGCTTCATGCCCACTCCTGAGAATAAATCACACTGATGTTCAGAGCTTTACAGAGTAAATTCTTACAGTGATATCATTTTATTTGTTTATCCGACCTTGCATGTCAGTGACCAGCAGATTGCCCTCTGTATTTTGGTAAACCCAGTGCTGGAAAGCGCAGCACTTCTGTCCCGCCTCTGAGTCCCGTCTCATTAAGTTGATCTCTTTACCGTCTTTCACCGAATATTTAACAAAATCACCAATCAGCTCCTCTTCCAGTGTGGCGTAGGGGATGTCGTTGGATGGGCGGTGAACCAAGTAGATGGGAATGATCCTGAAACAAATCAGCTTTAAGTAAAAGTGAATCAACATGCTGCTATGTTTAGTTTTATCAACCTCCTACTTACTCTGGTATGTCACCAAAGGCTTCAACAGACCGAGCAGCCGAGGTGTAGGCCTTGATGTACTCCCTCGCTGTGTTTTGGACCTGACACTCCTACAAGCAAGAACCGCTGCTGTGTTACACATCTATTTTGTAGCATTTCAATAACTCATTCAGAGAGAAAAAATGTTTCAAGGGTGTTTAAATGAGTCAATTTGCAGTAAATTAAATGTTTAATGAAAGAAATAAGCAAATATTAAAAAGGAGATGAAATTATAAAAGACCAATAAAACTGAGCAAAAATGCAAACATTCAAAATAAGTAAATATTTTTAATGTTACTTAATAGCATCCCCAAAAATGCACAAAATAATTTCCATGTTGTAAATTGTGAGTCTTAAATGACTCGTTTTATTTCCAGTTCTGGAATTTGTTATATGTCCATATTTTTCTTTACCATTCAAGTCAGAATCAACCACTGAAGTTAATTAATATGTGATTTTGTTAAGGGAGAATATTGAAATGTACCAGTAAAATCAATTGAAATAAATAAAATATGGACACAACATAAAATATTAGCACAGTTTGATTTCCATACTCTGATTCTAAAGACAAATGAAGGATAAAAGACTCAATATTCTCAGTGTTCCATATATGAAGAGACAAACTATTCTATGCATTTTGGAAAGCCACAACTGTTGTGTCTTCAGTCTTGTTATGAAATAAAATATTTTAAATTGGTGGAGGCAGGCTATGGAACAGGCTACAGAAAAACTGGAAATTAACCGAGTTTATCTCCTTGAATACATTAAAACCAGACTGAGAGCCCTTGAGACGGACTCCTTGTGTTGTAACTGCCTTCTGTAATTTTGTCCATAACATGTCTGTGTAACTGAAAAATTTGTAACTGTAACATTTGCTGCCTCTTGGCTAGGACTCCCATGAAAATTATGTTTTTTATCTCATCGGGACCTTCCTGGTTAAACAAGAAAAACAATGAATAAATAAAAATTCACAGAAAAATCATTCCTGCATCATCTTGGACAGCATTCATGTCCAGAAAGAAAAGCTCCAGCACTGTGAGACTTTTAAAAACGTCTGATTTTGTAGTCAGAACAAGGTATCAGCATCATGTTTACATCAGCTGACTGTGTGACATCCTCACCTCTACAGCCAGACTAAAGTTCCTCTGGATTAGCTCATCGTTGTTCTTGGTCCCGTAGCTGATGGCGTTGTGCACCTTCAGCACACAGGAGTGACCCGGCACTAGCAGAGGAACCTGACCCTCCTTCAGCGTGGTCCGGAAGGCCCGCCGATGCATCCCCTCCCCAAAGTGAACCTTTTCAGTGAGGATGCTGATGGGAAGGTTCTCTCCAAAGTATTGATCTGATAGAAAATCTTCTTTGAAGTGGAGCTTTGAATAGTGGGCGTCCTCTTCTTCACGGCTTACCTCAACAGATGGAGCTGGAAGAGGAAGACATAAAAAATAAAATAAAACTGTCTTCTGTGTTTTTTCCAACAAAAACGTATGAACTAACAAAATTCCTGCTTGGTTTGTGCTCACATGTAATGGATCTTGGAGATGCAGGAATGACGATCTCACTGAGAACTAAAACATAATCATAGTACGTGAAGAAGAAATGGATGGATGTTTGCTTTTGTTCAGCCTTTTTGAAAGTGAGATTTTTTTCTTCTACCTTCATATGTGAGCAGGTAGCCCAGGGAGGCGGAACCTTGGGAGCAGCTGAGCTGACACTCGTACCTGCCCAGGTCCTTGTGGGACGCGTTGGTGATGGTCAGCGACACCCTGCTGTCATCCCCTGCACTTCATCAAAATTTACAGAGTCAAAAATACAGCTGGCAACAAACTGAGGGGAAAAATACAACTTGTGCTGTTTCCTGTGCAAGAAGAAATGTGCAAAAAAGGTCCATGTGTCAGAAGGCAACGCAAGTGCAAGAATTTATCTTTTCCTATCCTAACTAACCCCTGAGGGCCGCATTTGGCAGGTTTTAGGTTCCTTTACTCAGACTCACCAGATCTGATGTAATAGAGGATTAATAAGCTTCTGCAGAGCTTGAGGACACGTGGAGGAGGCAACTCAACCATCAAATCAGGTGGAATATATCAGACATGAGCCCTCAAGAACTAGATTTAGTGAATTTATCATATTGATCTTTTAACTTTAAAGGTGTTGAACACTCATTTAATCACCACATTTGCAGTGGCCTCTAGTAGGATTGAATGCATTGAGAGTCTATTTTCTGGTCAGAAGCGAATGCAGGAGACTATTTTCATGTTCAGCCTGCATGAAAAACCAAGAGTGACTGACTCTAATCAGAAATAATCATGAAACAAATATGTTTTTCATTGAACTACACCTTTTAAATAATGAAAGTTACAATATATTTTACGAGTCAGTACGTAATAGTTTTAGATGTCTTTGATTCATAGTATTTAACTCGCTAACTACTTGTGTTAAACTAAAAGAGATTGAGACCTTAGATTATGGTTTTATTTGTTTATCCGGTCTGCTGTAAGCTGGTGAAGGTTCTTGGTCATCAACTTCTTAACGTTCGGGCGTTGAAACCACATGAGGAACATTTTGATCTAAAACATGAAGGTAACGGTTGCTGTGACAATGAGGACATGCCAGACCTGTAGTTCAGGACATCAACAACATCAGGACAAATGACAGAGCATTTCAGAAAAGACTTGCTTCACTCATGCTGCTAAATTTAGCCAGACGCTTGTTTTGTTTTCTGGAGGTGTTTCCTATAATACACACAGCAAACTGCCGTGTGTGAACAACCTGTGTGAGATTTCATTTGAGAATTGAACAACCTTATCAGATAAAGGTGAATACCTTCTCTTGATCTGAATGAGGGCCAGCCCCTCTTTGCTCCAGGTCACGGTGCAGTCTGAGTGGACAGCAGCAAACTGACAGCAGAGTCTCAGACTCTGAGGGTCCTCGCTCACCGGCACTGCCTGGATCACCTGGACCACCTGTGGCTCTGTAAAAATCAGGATTTTACCAAAACAGACACTCTTGTGTCCCACTGAACAAACTATGCTTTTGTTGAGTTTGATCACCTTCCTTAGGTGGGATTTTCTCTTTAACCACTTCACTGTAAGCCTTCTTTCTAGCTGCACTTCCCTGGGACTCTTCTTTTGTTTTTATTAAACCACCTGTTTTTGGCAGTTTGGACTCCAAAGAACACACGATTTTTCCACATTTATCCCCCGACATGCGCCGCCTTTTGACGGAGTCGTCATTTGCAGAGGCGGTAAAAGTTTTAGCTGAGTGGTCTTTATGATCTGTGTGAGCTTTTTCACCTTGAGGAATTTTATCATCTGGTTGCTTGGACTTTTTCTGAGCAGCAACTGGCTGAGCTGTCCCAGTTTTAGTCCCGAGCTTGGCCTCAAACATATCCACCCTTCCTTTTGTGGATTTGGGCTTGGCCCCGCCCCCCAGGTCAGCTGGTGTCTCATCTTCAATCTTAACTGTTGCAACATGTTTCTTTTTCTTCTTGCCATGTGGCTTGCTCAGCCCCTTCTCAGTCACCTCCACACCAGTCTCATTCACCGGTTTATCCTCCTTGACCTCAGCCCCTGCCTCGTGGAGCTCACTGATGCGATGTTCTCCGGTTGGGGGATGGCTTTCTTGCTGTTTACAGGATTCTTGGATACAAACATGATGAGAATCTTGTTTTTTAGGCTGCGTAATATGATGATGACCTGGTTTATCCTTTTTGGAGCGCGTTTTGCTCTCAGCAGGATTCTTGGTAGTCTTGTGAGGCATTTTGAGCTCCTCAGATTCTGTGAAGAACGGTTTGGCTGCCCAGGGTATGAATGGATCATTTAAACCTAAAGTGATGTATGCAACAGGGTCCGTCTCCGAGACGACAATAAAATCTGTCGAGAAGGGAGGGTAGTTTGCTAGATCTCCACTCAAATCCACAAGGAAACAGCTTTTTTCCGAGTTCTGCTCCTTCAGTCCATCGGGGGAAGATTCCTCTCCTGTGTTTATTGTCTTCTGCTTTTTCTGAATGAGCTCCTCTTCACTTTCCAGAAATGGTTGGTCAGTAATTCCATCCGAAGCTGGGTGGGGAGGGCGGTGTTGTACATGATCACTGGTGTTTTGAGACTGATCACCTTTCAAACAGCTGTTTGTCTGACAGACGCCAGAAGAGTCGATGCCGAGAGGAGCTAAACACATAATAGAGTCAGGACTTGCCAGCTGACGTTCCTCAAGAAGGTCTGGGAAATTTTGAAACGACTCATTTGTGTGCAGGTCTGAGTCTGATGCACCGAGGAGGCCTGTAGGAGACTCGTCTGATCTCTGCTGGGATGAATCATGTGTCAGTGGACACACTCCATCTCCGAACGTCTGCCAATGAAAACACACAAGTGTCAAAATAATTTTCTATTTAAATTTACAATTTTTTAAAATCTAGATTAAGATAAAAGGTTTAAAAACACAATTGCCACAAACCCTGACTGTAAAATTTAAAAACATTCATTTTTCTAAAGATCGACTGTTTTAAGTATCTGGTTCAACACATACTCTTTTTGAAGATCAACAAAGCAGACGTTTACAAAAGTCCATTCTCTTGTGTTTGATCCCTTAATCCATAAAACCTTTAATGTCCAGATTTGATTTTCACGCCATTTAAAATGAATAAAAAAATCAGTCTTCTTGGTCCGAGAACCTGCTAGCGTCCTGATCTCTCGTTTTTTAAAGCAAGACGTGGTCGGAGGGAGTGTGTTAAGGGCAGCAAAAGAGAGATAGTGCAGGGAAGAGTTGAGTTTCAGCCCTCAGCTGTGCCTTCCTCTCACTCCTCCACCCTGACAAGCCACAGATGTATGCTATTATCATCCAAGTGTCAGCTATTTTTAAATGCCATCTCTGTCTGTCTGAACTCTTCCTCTTGGGCATTTCTCATTCCTTCAGCACGAGATGGAAGCTAAAGGACTTATCTAATATTGCAGAATAAAGGCTAGGGTGGGAATGACTTCTGTCCAAACGGGTCTCATGTGAGGCGGAAGACCGACTGGCTACGAGGACAAGGACACGAGAGGGAATGTCTCTCAGTGCCTTGGCTCCGTTTCCAAAATGCACGACAGAGTTTGTTTGCCAACGATGTTAAACTGATCGCCCTTCTCTCCAGCGTTAAGGTTGAATCTTTCCACCTTCTCTACACCAGTGTGTGTGTGTGTGTGTGTGTGTGTGTGTGTGTGTGTGTGTGTGTGTGTGTGTGTGTGTTACATTTTCACTTCTATGTGAGAACAGGGTATCTCCATTTACAATGTATATTAAAATGAGAGATCGTACCTCTTCATCAAAGAGCTTGGTCTGAGGGATCAAGTCCATGTCCTCTGTTATCTTGAGTGTGACTGGATAGTCTTCTTTGTTTATGCAGACATCTTCTTCAAATGTCTCCAAGTCTCCATCATAAAAAGAAGCACGTATCAGAGAAACATCTTCGGTGTGTCCTCCAGAGGAGACTACTGCCACCCCAAGTGAACCCATAGGTGGGAGCTTCTGGTCTACTTTAGTGGTATCGTACACTGATTCAATTGCCCTGGAGCGTCCAACACTCAAAAGTCCAGGCCCGGCAGCTCCAGGACACAAAAAAAGACAGCACTGGTCTGAATGGCTGGAGCTCTCTGGGACTGTTTTGGTCTTTAGAGGCTGATCCTGGACTCCCATAATCTCCTGGACCGTTGTCTTTAGATCCTCTTCTAGCTCCGTTTTAGCAGTCAACTCATCTAGAGATTGAGTCAAAGCGTCAATCTCAGCTCCGATCTCTGCAAAGGCGGCTGCGATATCTTCTGATGGATCCTCAATGATCCCAGTCCAGTGTGAGAGAGCGCTTGCCCAGCTGTCCACTGATGACCATCTTTCTACCGGCGGCCCCCTATCTCTAATGACATCACTGGAGCAGCCAAGCTCCTTGCTTTCATCCAGGTTGTAACCTGACTCTTGATGTCCTTGCATCATCGAACAATCTGCAGCATCCAAAACCACCTGTTCTTCTTTGTCCTCCCCCATCAGGCACTGGCATGCATCCACCCACAGCTCCACTGGGCTGGAGCTTACATCATCGTCCAATCTCACATCACTTACCGACATCAAGTCGATAAGTGATGTGGCATCTGCAGCAGGTGGTTGTAACTCTTGGTGTTCACTCATCTGTGACACGTTCTGTAAAACTTGTGCCTCTCCAAAGCCAAGATGACATTGTGTTACTTCTGGATCACACATCAGGACATGTGGATAAGAGTCTGCTCCTGGCTGGTATTCAGGACACGCAGTCTCCCTGGGACCATCAGTCCTACTGAGGATAAAGTCATGTGTGTCTCCTTCGTGTATATAAAGGTCTGCCACAGGTCCTACAATTGTATCAATGTCTGAAGTATCAGACTGAGTACGTAATGAACCCGTGACAGAAGTGTGTTTGGTGGGAAAAGGCTTTGTTAGATCCTCAGACGCCACATCTCCAGAAGATTCAGGTGATCCAGCATCATTCACTAGAAGGAAACATGATTCTTGTTTCACATCTGTGGGGACGGACTGGGTTGGAAGAAACTTGTGACAGTGCTGAGGAAGGAAAGGTAAAGCTTCTCTTTCAGGTTCTGGTGAGTCCTTGATTTCATCCTCTGATGAAAAACCCAGTGAGGGTCTGTCACCCTGCAGCAAACACCTCAAACCGTCAGGGTCTGTGTTTAGAAAGGGTTTGCTTGAGTCCAGGAGCTCAGTAACAGTCAGCAAATCTTCTGTTTGACTTCCTGCCAGCGATGTTTGGTCATCATTCAACAAATCCATCAGGACTCTTAATTCTTCTCTTTTTTTAGAGCTCTCGTCTCTAGCTGGCAAACAGCAAATTCAGCAATAAAGACGTCTTGTTCATCCTTTTTTCTGGCATCTTTTCACTTTGCCTGAAAAGCAACACATGAATTTACCTCTAGAAATTGATGCTGGTGTGCGTAAGTTTTCCTACTTGAAACAAAGCCCGCTATCTCCCTCTAGCTGCTGCCTTGCATGATGTGTTTAATCTGAGCTGCAGACGGCTGAGCTGACATGTGTTTATTTTAGGAAATTTCAAGAGACCCTTCATACTGCTTATCAAACCTGGCATTAGTTATTACTTTGATGCTACAACTAGCAGCTTCCATCTGAAGATTATACTCTGGAGTTTCTATGTTCAAACACAGCTGAGAGATAATAAAACGTGTGAAGAAACAAAAGCTGTTTGAACTGATTAACAGAATCGTTTTAAAAGGTTCGACAAAGTGCCAAAGTGTGTGCTACAGATGAGTCATCAATCACAGTTTACTGGGGCCCTCGAAGTATAAGCAGAAAGCACGATGAACAGAGAACAGAAGGAGACGGCGAGCCATAGCAGTCGGCGCCATCTTGAAATTGATTGGTATCAGACGCAGAGCATCATTACGCAGAGCATCAGATGCTTCAATGTAAAAGTCATATGGATAATGTTTTATTTTACCTTAGACCATCTCAGGGTCAGACCACTGGGAAGTTTCTGCGTTTGTGTGTGTGTGTGTGTGTGTGTGTGTGTGTGTGTGTGTGTGTGTGATTTTCCACATTTGTAGATGCTATGGAAACTGGTGTTTCATTACAAGACGTATTAGAGGCACGTAGAGCTCAGCGAGGAGTTTACAATCTATAATCCTGTTTGTATTTGATAAACGGTGACAAAAGTCTCAGTGATTGTTCAATAATAGATTTCAGCTATTGTCTTACTCGCCTAACTCTTTTTCTGAGCAGTTTGTTAAAGTTGGCCAAATTGTTGATGGCTTTCTAGATCTAGATAAAAAAGTTGAAAGATACAGTTCCATTAGTCGTCACACTCCGGTGAAGTGAAGTTCTCCGTATTTGGTCCACCCCCTGGGGAAGTGGGGAGCTGCAGACTCGGCCGCGCTTGAGAACGATTTGGTGGTTTAACCGCCCAATCCAACCCCTTAAAGCTGAGGGTCAAGCAGGGAGGCATTGGGTCCCATTTTTCAAAGTTTTTGGTATGACCCAACTGTGTATTTGAACCTGCAACCTACCAGTAGCAGGATGGACACTTTCACCACTACACCACTGAGCTAGTCATGCTTTATGACAAGGCCTCACTGTTTATTCATGACTAATACACATTTACAAAAGGGATTGGTCATTGAGAAATGATGGCACTTTACAATAAGGCCCCGTTTTAGCAGACATAAATATTTACTCGTTTTGAAAAGTTTGTGGGAGAGCGAGTGTGTGTGTGTGTGTGTGTGTGTGTGTGTGTGTGTGTGTGTGTGTGTGTGTGTGTGTGTGTGTGTGCCTTCAGAACATGCACTCTGATATATTAGATGGAATCTGGTGGCAGAGATGCTGGAAAAATACCAGCTCATCTTCCCCTTTGACCTGCATTTGTCACATTTCAGCGGTGTGAAGGACACTTTGTCTCAGATGTTTACGTGAAACACTTTCATGACTTAAACAAACGATGTCAAACTAACTAACGAACAAAGTCAAAACCCTGAAATGTTACTGCATAGCTGATCTTAAATATTTTGGTTTCTTTTTGATCATGTGATTAAAAATTTCCGTAGAAATTTCTGCATTTGGAAGAGAAAATGATCATTGACTAGTGACAGATGATTGAATTCTAAATAAGCTTGAGGTGGATTTATTATTGAATAAAGTGTAAAATGCACACTGATGTTGCATGAAAGGTGTCGTGTGAGTCATCCAGCGCAGCGGAATTGGTTTCAGCCTTTTGGAACACAACATTCACTAAAACCCACAATCCAACAACAACCTGACCTCACAGATGAATTATAGCTGATAAAACAATCAGAAGTTAATCAGAGTTCCTTGAGTTGTTAAATCAGTTGTCTAGTCTGTGACGGGGGATTTCCAGCCATGCAGTCAGTACGTACCCATTTCATAGTGCTTGAGGTTATAGACCAGTGATGGACTTCAGTTCCAGTTCAGCCACAGTCTCAGGGTGAGGGACTATTTTTGGATGTTGTCCCCTCTCAAGTAGAAAGTTGGTTACCTGATATTGTAGACATGTGCTGATCATCAACATTTAAAACTTCATATCTTTACTTACCCACTCCTCCACTGAATGGATTTTGTCCTCCATTGGAGTCAGGGAAGATTTGACTTTTGCAGAAAGGATAAATTGTTCTTCATGTTAACATTTTAGAGATTAATTCTGATTTATTGTACTTAGAGTAAAAAAATAATCACAAAAAACACAAAAAGCGGAAGGAAAATAATTAAAATTCACTGTTAGCAGCCAAGCTGTACTGCAATCACTTACTTTAATTTGGCTTTGATTACATTAAGATCTGATTTTTCTTACATCTAATTTATTCCTCTAAGATCTAATGAAAATAACATTAAATTACTATTTATTACATGTATGCATTTAGACAGATAATTTTTGTTTCAGATACTACCCTTAGTTTCTTCCTGCTTTGCTCCCACGTAAAACTGAAGGAGAGTTTAGCAGCTGAACATCCAGTGTTAGATATTGTTTCATGATAGGTGAGATGAATTCATCCTATACTCTCATGAAATCAGCACCTTATGAAAAGCTAAGTTAAAAATAAGGGCACTGAAAAATTACATTTAGGGTTTAGAACCTGCTGGTACCATTTGTAACTGCTGATATGTTCGAGTTTTTAGTCCAGCTACCATTTCTAGGGTCTCAAAAAAGATTTAACATCCACTGGGAGGCAGAAGCTGGTTAGTTAATACAGAGCTAAACTATGAAGGTTCCTTCGAGTTCCTTCAACAACGAACAATGACAGCATGGTCTGGACATTCACAGTATGTGAGCGGTGTCCCAACATCCCACTTTGTTCTTTTCCTCTTGTCCAACAAAGCTAGCATTAGCTCAGGCTAGCATTGCTTTGTGGTTTAGCTAAAGCTTAACCATGATCAAGATCCGTATCTAAGCTTGTGACTACGTTAGACACACCAAGCTTCCTGTATTCAACACAAGTTAAATGTGGCTTTGAATTCTAGGACGGCATAATGAAGCCCTGTTATTATTTGTAGTTGGGGTTTAACAAAGAGAGCTAAGTACACTTCAGGGATTACGTTTGCTGACGCCATTAGTTTGTTGAAACTTGATTTTAGTTTATAAAACAAAATAAGAAAGTGTTTCTTTTTTTTGTCAGTCGTTTTGTTTCAGAGGAGGTGTGCACAGCCATGTGCGAAATAATAAAAAAATAACTGAATGGTAAACAAAATGTTTTACTGTAACTTTAATGTATGGCTAAATGTCGTAATCACAGTCCTTTAGACTCATGTCTGCATGATCATAAATGACCTCGTCTTAAACAGAGAAAGAAGTAAATTCACATCTAAACAATGTTGTTGTGGATCATCTGAAAGCACCTTTCATATTCTCAGGCATGTTGAACATGTTGTTGCAAGCGTTCAGAGCCGACGTGTCCTCGTGCAGTCGTCTAAAGAAAAGTATCATCTTTCCAAAGCAGATATATTTTTACACTGTGTTGTTGCACAGACTGCCTGCGGTGTCTGGACTCACATCCAAAACCTCCCAGGGCAACACGAGGAGGGAACTGATGACGCACATTTTTAATGCGACCATCTGAGTCAGTGTGTGAGAAAGCTTAGAAATTATGTTAAAGTTATGGAAGTATGGATGTCTGACATTATTGGCCTACCATTATTATCAGCCAACATTGGAATTAATGTTGGTATTTACTGGTATCAATTTATTCTACAACTTTTACCTAAGATGCACACATTATACATCAAACTAAAGTACTTCTCTCTCTCATAATGTCCGGGTATGACAGATCCAAGGTTTAGTTTTTTAGTTGATATTTTTGTTAGTTTAGGACAACTGGCCAATAGCTTACATTGAAGTGGTTGTCATATTTTGCACAGATAATGTTTAAAATTTTAGTTGTCAGAACCCAAGTGCCCAAGCCAGCCTCTCCCAGCTAGCCGATCTCCACCATGGACCACATCTCCCAGCATACCCCTCGCGGGGATTCCCTCCACGTCACACCTGCGTCACTAACTGCGACTATATACGGAAGTCGCCTCCCCAGCTCACCACTCAGTCATTGTTTCTTCAGATCCATAATCAGAGTTTCCAATCAAACGATCCATCTTACGAACTATCCGCTCACAGTAAGTGTTCTTACTTACTTCTGGAAAACCCAGCATTTCCGTGTCACTTCATTGACACTCGAACGCTCGGGGATTCCTAGATTAAATCGTGAGCTGGCTCTTCACCGATGCTATCACTTCCGCGTCTGTGAAACCACGCTCTCTACAAGCTCAACTCCTGAATCCAGCCGACCAGTCTGACAGGATGACTGAGTCCCTTAACCCAGCGGAGTTTGAGCGAATGAAGAATGAGATTGTTCAGCTTCACGCCTTGGTTGACCGGCTCAACACCAAGGTGAACTCTCTGACCAACCTCACCCTTCAATTATCCACATCCATCAATGCTCTTCAGCAGCAAGCCCTCGCTCCACCTAAGGAGGAGCCGCAGTTCAGCCTACCGGAGAGATGGAACGGAGAGGTTGGGAGTCCAGATGGTCTCTCCTCCTCCACCCATGGCAGACCGCCCAGCTGGTGGTCTTGGTCCTCTACCGCCCAATCTTCCACTACCCTATCGGGACCTGGCCGCAGTCTTCGATAAGCGACGCGTCACCACACTGCCGCCTCACCGCCCATATGACATGGAGATCAAGCTACAACCAGGTACCAGTCCTCCCCGTGGGCGCCTTTTCTCTCTCTCTCCCACCGAATCCAGAGCTATAGAGGAATATATCAACCAGGCCCTCCAGCAGGGTTTCTTCCGACCCTCCTCTTCCCCGGGTGCTGCAGGCTTCTTCTTTGTGAAGAAAAATGAAGGTGACCTTCATCCCTGTATAGATTACCATGGGTCTAAACAAGATCACTATCAGGGACCGCCATCCCCTGCCACTCCTCACGACTGATCTGGACTCCATCTCCCAGGTGCGGATCTTTACAAAACTGGACCTCCGGAGCGCCTACAATCTGGTCTGCATCAAAGCTGGGGATGAGTAGAAGACCGCATTCATCACACCTACCGGTCATTGGGAGTACCAGATCATGCCCTTCGGGTTGTGCAATGTCCTCCGCGACATGCTGGGCCGGTGGGTGTTTGCCTACCTGGATGACATCCTAATTTACTCCAAGTCCGAGGCCGAACACCTCCACCATGTTCATGCTGTCCTGACCCAGCTCCTGAACAATAACCTATACTGCAAGCCCGAGAAATGCTCTTTCCACCAGCGGACCATCTCATTCCTGGGCTTCATGATTTCGGATCAGGGCATAACCATGGATCCTCAGAGGGTCCAGGCAGTCACTGACTGGCCCCTTCCTACGAGCCTAAAACAGCTACAGAGTTTTCTGGGCTTCTGCAACTTTTACTGCCGTTTTATTAAGAACTTCAGCACCATTGTGGCACCGCTCACCTCCCTCACCTCTGCCAATCCAGTGGAACTGCCCCCGATGTCCACGCGATACTGCAGAGCCGCGTCAGCCAAAATAACCCTACAACATCCAGAGCCTTAAGGAACTCTGGGCGGATCTCATCCACACTTGGAGCTTTGCCACCAAGGAGCTTTGTGACAACCTCGGTGACCTCAGCCCCAGAGATTGGAGAGCCCAACCCATTGTTCCTGGACTCTGCTCTCTCACTTGAAGACTAGAAAAAGGTGGATTTGAGGAGGTCTTCAGAGTATTCCATCCATTGATCCACAACTTCCCGAGTAGAGGTCAGGAACACACCATTCCCCGTTATAACAGTGTTGGTAGTGCACTGCTTTCTCTTCCTTAGGTGCCGAATGGTGGAGTTTTATATGTAGAAGACATAAAGTTACTTTTTTTTATCCACCTTCGCTGGAGCTGATTAGTCACTGATTTTACCTTTGTGCATGGACGTAATTTTGGGGGGGGGGGGGGGGGGGGACAGGGGGGACATGTCCCCCTCACTTTTTCCAAAGTCAAGTTTTGACCCCTGCACTTTTTACCATCCAAAAATAATATTACACTATATTAAATTGACACTGGTTGAGCTCTAGGACCTAGCAGAAAGCAACCGTTTGTGTTGAAGCCGGTTTCCCATTAGAACATATTGTAAAGATACCCCCCCCCCCCCCCCCCCCCCGGTGTCCCCCCCACTTCTAAAGTGAAAATTACGTTCTTGCCTTTGTGTCTGATCAAACCAATGCTAGCATCCAGTTGTACATGTGCAAACATGCTTCAGTGTTGTTTCATGTTTGGTCACACTTACATGTGAACATCATCACACTCACACCTCAGCCAGAAGGCAAATGCAGAAAACTTGAAAATGTGCCAGGATTTTTTGGAAACGTTTGTCCACTCTTCCCTTCATGTTTTAGCCACAGCTAACCTAATGGACATTGCTAGTTTCTTTATTAAATAAAGCAAACAGCTGAGTTCTAAGAACAAATAGTTTATTTGTTTGTAAATGCAGTTTTGAACATTGTCATCGATGGAAAAACAAGTCCCAAATGACAGACGTATATGGATGAATGAATGGATGGTGATTTCTCTCTATGTGTTTCTTCGTTTGAAGAATTGGAAAGGCTTCTCTATTAAAACGGTGAGAGCACAGCTTGCCACTAGTGTCAGGGCCAGGTGGCCAAGAAACAAGTACATCTGCAGGGATCAGACACCCACATGTCAAAGACATGAAGAATGAATCGGATAGAACAGAATTTCCTCTAAACTAAAAGAAATAATGTTTGAATTTTGATGTCAGAAACTTACAAAGTTGATGTCTGAGTAGTGGATCGGTGTCTCCTGCAGGCCAATATAGAGAATAATGAAGACAGGATGGATCAGATAACAGGCAAAACTAATGTTGGAGAGAGGAACCCAGAAACGTAAAGACAGAAGTGTCTTGATAAAACCTGGAGGAGTATAAGCAGAGGAGAAGTGAGGAACAATTTAAAAATGCTACTTTTTAAACATATTCTCATTTTACTGATCTAGAGTGTCTATGTGGTTTTAAAGTAGAGTCCTTATTAATCACAATCAGGACTTTTGAACGCATGTTTTTTGTTAGCCATTACTTGTCTGAATAAGTGTCATTTCGTTCATTTGTACCTCCATAGCCTTCCTCACAGGCTAGTATGATCCAGCTCACAGTCAGGGCCCAGACCGGCCGGTGTAGCCCCTGATACACAGCATGAGGCAGAGATGGATAGGTAGGGGTCTCCTTCAGGAAGTAGGCAAATCCAACCAATAAGGCCATCAGAGACAGACTGCACCACCATCCAAGCGCTGCCTGCCACTGAACCACCAGAATGACATGAAAAATGTGACAATGATGAGAAATGTCAGCTCTACAAAAGAAAAACTCCTCTGAAAGAGAAGGTTGAATGTTAAACTGACCTGAATAAACATTTTTGGTGATAAAGGGCATTTAACTTAGAGAAATAAAACCCTGCATTCTATTTCAAGGACATAAACATGTGGGTAAAACACATGTGGTGTCATGGGTTGAGCCTGTTTTGATGCATCTAGACTAGG